TCATTTGCTTTTCATTTTCAGTAATACCTTATGAAAACAGGGATAACTGCAGTAAACTATGATTTAAATATTTTAAAAGAAATCACTCCTACTGAGTTGATAAATAAATAGTAATGTGGTGACAAGAAATTATTTAGAGTAAAATTGTTTTCATAATCTAATTGTTAAATATATAATGCTGGAGTTTCAGTAATTCTGCTGAGACAAGTTACCTTTTTATGTGGGATTTAAAATTTCTAAGGCAGTGTTAGAGCCACGTAAGATATACTTCGTATGATGTACATATTTCATTATTAAGTAAAAGAACTCTATCTGCTAACAGTCCAGATATTTCTGTACATATAACTTCGAAAAGGATACAGTTCAAAATCTAAAACTTAGCCAAGTAAGGCTCTTGTTACAGAAGACATTGCAGACATGGGGGATGACTGTACCCAAGCAGGGTGGTTACCACAGTGCTGCAGTGGATACAACTCCTTCTGGGAGTATGGAAAAAACCTGCCCCTGGTCTGCTTATGCAAGAACTGGGTACTCCCAAAGCAACTAGCCAGTGTAACAGTCACAACAGCAACCGGCTCAAACACATATCCCTGTTAAATGACTTTATCCAATCCTATAAAGATGGGCTATCTGTGCTGACAAAGGTATGTAAAGGGCTGTCTTCTGTCTTCCCTTGAAATCGGTAAGGCTTCTATTATGAATCTCAACAGGTCTGAGATTTCACTTGCATGGTTAACAAGTACATCTGAGAATAGATTCAGTTGAGTGTTATCTAAACTGATCTAGGTCCTGGATACATGCCCAGACATTTATGGTGTCTGGTTTAAGTTTTTATTATTATGCAATATTCTTGGTTGGTGATGACACAAAGATTTTAACCAAGTTAATCTTTCAGAATCAAACTCAGCTACTTGACTTTTAAATTAAAATATTTTTAGCCCACAGACAGTGAATATGTAGAAACATATCCATGACAGGAAAGGACGTTTAGGATCTTACCTTCCCTGCCTTTCTTTCAAATAATTTCTATTATTAATTACTTGGTGTTGACTAAATTATTCCTAATCTTGATCTATTCCTGCTATCAGTTATATGGCCTGTTTTATGTCCTACTTAATGAACCCTTTTAATGGAAATTAGAGGACTCATAATTTCTTTAACTTACATTTGTGACTTTCCATGCTTCCACCAGACTACATAAATCAGTGTATTTTCTAAAACTTGATTTTAGGAGCTTTAATCATGCAATATGAAGTAGATAACTGCTCACAAATGATGCTATTTCTTACATTAAGTTGTACTGAGAGTCAAGTGTTTCAGAGTTTATGTTACAAAACAATGTAACAAGTAACTGCTGAAGAGCAGCATTTTTCCCTGAAATAGTCTCAATGGAGAGCATTTTTCACTAGTTTATTAAATAGGTTTACCATTAAAATAATCATACAACGTCCACTGACAAAAAGCCACACCAATTTAAAAGTGTGAAAGTAAACGGAGAGTTTTAAGCAGTATAAACCCCCACAGGCACATTCTCCTACTGCTTTCACTCAAGTCCATTCGAAACAGGTTAATGCTCAAGCAAAATAAGTCAATCAAACTGAAATAAGAGTGGGTTTGCACTGACTTAACTAAAACCGTGCTAGTCTGCGTGTGAATGAAACCTGACTGTTATGTCTAGTCTCTGCAATAAGACCATATGTAGATGGACCTTGTTTGATTTCGTAAGTATTTAAATGCAATTTAAACTTGATTTATGCCAGTTTGGTTAAAACAATATGCAGAGTGGTTTGAAGACTGGCTAATAAATAGAGTAAGATGGAGTTACAGAACAAAACTTAAAATAATCTTCACCTTACCAAATATATTTTTAAATGCGTTCAAAGGACATAGTGATCTCCCTGTACAGTTTATTGACACCAATAAGCAAGAAGGGGACTTCTAAATGGTAGAAGTTCTGTGGCAGAAATGGAACTTTTTGGGTTTTTTTCTTTTTAAATTAGCAAAAAACCCCTGAGTGTTATGGAATGAAAGACTCCAAAATATCGATAAAGGAGAATGTTTTGGCACAAATACCCTTTGCTAGTCTTCTTTCTTCCCTTCTCATCCTATTATCCCTGCACTGGTACCTTTACTTTGTATTCCAAGACAAAGTTTTCTAGAGTTCTTTAAATGTTTTGAGAAGTTTTTTCTTAAAGATTTAAAAGACCTTCTTAAAGACCTCAAATTACTTGTTTTGGTATTTCACTTTCTCCCTCTGACTTTTGTCTTCATTAAGTATCTTGGGCTATATTCTCTTCGTCAGACTTCATGGATTGGTTATGTTTGGTTTAGATATTCATCCATTTCTATCTGGCAGGGAACCAGTGTATAGTTTTGAAGAGGACAGTTCCAGACTGCCTGGTTCGCAGAAGGAATGCAGTAGTGTCACTGTGCAAATGCAGGCACACTGTTTCACTGTCTGAAATATTATCCATTTCCAGGACATAATAATGGAATTATCAGCTCCTTTGCTGGTACAAAAAACCCGAACCATCTGACAATTGTATCATTAAGCAAATAACACAAGCTAAAAATGCTGTAGGTTTCTTGGATGCCCTCTTTACGCTTTTTAAAACACTACCTAGTAGTCACTTTACTACTGGCCAGAAGAATATCTGAGCAACAAAAGTCTTCAGGCAATATTCAAGACATGGAAATACAGCTTCAAATCCAGCTTATTATCAAAGCTGACAGTATTATATTCATCAGCTTATAGAAAACCTGGAAGAAACCCAATTTCTCTCTCAGTTATGGGTCATATGCACTTTTAAGAGGAGCCCATCTGGCAGTGAAGTTTTGAAATTTTTACATTTTTGTAGGAGTGGATTCAAAACTTTTAATTTCAAATAACAGAGCCATGCCAAAGACACTCTATCTAATCGACCTTTTATACTATAAAATTGGTTATTTTTTATTTTGGTAGTGCCAATACAATTTGAGACATCAGCAAACATTCAGTATTTAATGTAGAAAAAAATATAAATAATATTAAACCAAAATCTTGCCAGTCTCACCTTCCCACTCCCCTTTACAAAAGTTAATGCAAAAGAATATGTTTTTATTAAATATATTTGAATATTTTAGGTGAAAGTCTCTAAACTAGTTGAAGAAAGAGCTTTAGAACCCTAATTGCTAAAAACAGAAACATGCTTTTATTTCTTATGGTTTCAAATATGTAGAATGAAATTCAACTTCAGAGAGAGGCATGGTGCCAGCAAATTATACACTTTCATTAGAAGGGTGGGAAAAAAGGCAGGGCTAATGTACAAAAGAACAGGGTGTAGCACTCAAACAGAAAACCTAGTATTCATTCTGCATTTACCCAAACATGTTATCATATCCAGGAACACCACTACTTTGAAATCACATACCAGTTTGATTTAAGCATTTTTAATTAGGTTACCACCAAAATATTTGCTACCTCTTTACTAATACCACTATTACCATTACTCAGAATACACTTCATACACCTTCTTTTATTCACATGTCAGCACAGTGTCACTCCCTCTAGTGGGTAAGAAACACAGCTTATATGGACAACGCGAATTTTCATACAAGGCAGAAGTACTCCTGCAGCTGTTCCAAAAGCAGCAACACTGGCTACAATGCAAGTCTTCTATCACAGCTATAAAGAGAACCACTATTTCACTCTGACTACTAGAAAATGTGTTTTTACTAGCCCTGTTGTTTACTTTTGCTTCCTCAAGTTTCCAATGGCCGAAAAAGAACTACAATGAATGCAAATACTGTGGCAGAAAGAAATGTGTTTATTTCTAGCTTGCTTTCACTTTGGAAGTGATGGTAGTTTTAGTTCTCAGCTCAACAGCAAGTTCTGCCTGCCATCAATTATTTTCAGAAATCTGATTCCTCCTTTGCATACACTGGCTACATACTAACTCAAGTAGTATTAAAATCCTGTGTCTTTTCCTGCCAAATAACTTGATTACTCTATTTCATTTGAATACTTGCTTGACAAACCCAACTCTGGAAACACTAAGACATAGTCTAATGTTTACAAGATCTCATTTCAGCAGATCTTATTACATAATCACATAATGAAAAAAAAGACAAATAAAACCCAACCATGTACTTGGATTTTTTTGACTGTTGTATATATAAAATCTGTATAGCTAACGGAACGATAGAATACTGCCAACAGTGAAACAAAACAGGAAGAACGGGTCAATACAAAAGAACTTGTTATATGCATTTTTCTGTATATATTACCTTCTAATGTATAATTATTACCTTCTAATGTATATATCCAAAGAAGTTGGCTAAAAAAACCAGCACCAGTTTGTTGCAAATGATGTTGCTTATTTTTTAAAATAGGAATGACTTTCAACTGATAGATACTTTAGTCTAATCGATTTAAGTTACAACCCAATCCCAAGCCATGAGATGCCTTAAGCAAAGGACAGCCACTCTCATTTACAGCAAATTAAGGTACTCAGTAGTTCACAAATTGTTACTCTTAGAATAACATATCAGAACTTCATCTGAAATTATTTGATAATTTTTAGATTATTGTAATTTAGACTGATGAGTAAATAGTCCACTCAACCACACTGTAGAGAAAATGACTGGCAATTACATTACTTGAAAGAACAAAATTGTTAAGTAGCACATTTCTAAGAAAGGGACATTTTACAAAAAGACAAAGGCATATATTTTCCACCAAAATCTAGTGCTGCTGTCATCAACAACCCAACAAAAGCTACAGCTACCTAAAATGGAAATGAAAATGTAATGTATGGAAATATTCTCTTATAAAACCTCCTTAGGCTTCACATGTATTAATGTATTAGTTTGCAAACATTAAGATCAAAGGCAAAGCAACAAATACATCCTAAAAAGTTTTTAGTCAGATTTTTATTAACGATATACAAGTAGCAAGGCATAAAAAATTAATATGTTCAAGCCTTGAAATGTCAAGTGTAATGATCTCTAGCTCTGCTTACCTCCTTTGCTTTTTGTTTCAGTCTAGCTTGCTCTGGGTCTTCTTGCCTTGAGCGACTCTACATGTTTAAAAAAAATGGGGAAAAAAGGTTAACAGATGGTTTAAGAACCCCTCATCTGTTGCAATAAGTTAAAAAATAGCAAAGAAAGGGGAATAGGATACAAGGTGTCAAAAATGGGATGCTTAAATTCATAGAAGTGCAATTTCAAACCCGAAGGCCTCACCCAAAAGACTGTTAAATATTCAGTTGCAAATAAGATCTACCCTAGATTTAAATTAAAAAACCAAAAAACCATGTTTTTGTCAATGCTAAAGTATCCATACAGGTTTAGATTTCAATTATTTAATACAAACAAATTCAAGCATCCAAGAGCATAAGTGACACCCTTTCCATTATCTGAACTTTTAAATTGGAACTCCTTACAGTCACTTATTTTAAAATAAATCACTGTTTGCAACTAAGCTTTTATTCAGCTGTTGGTAAAGAATGTGGAGAAAACAGTTGTAAAGTCACCCTCCCAAACAGTAAATCTTCATAATAAAGATGTTACTATCCATATAAGCATACTTTGAGTAAGAAATACAAGAAAGTTAAAATAGAATAATACATAGAAATACAAGTAAGTTAAACTCATTCATGCACTGCTAATAATATTAATGTTGTAATTTTTAAAACTGGAGAAATATTGCCAAATGGCGACTTTCAAATTTTCCTTCAAAACCAGGAACAATAGCTCTAAAAAAACATTAAGAATAACTTTAATTGCAATAACAACCCACAACAGTACATTTCTTCGGGTTACAGACTGTTTTACAACCATATGTTAAAACTACTGAATTCTTATTTATGCTTAAAGCATACTCAAATTGATGGAATTCAAAACTCGAGAGGTAGATAAAATATGCATTATACTTTTTTGATTACATGATTGGTCAGTGTTGAGAAAAGGTTGTATAAAACATTGTAAGAAGGTGCAATAAAACTTGCGACATCCATGGAAAACTGTTGTTCCTGATACCTGAAAGATGTAATTGTTTTATTTAGGTGTTTGAGATTTAAAGTGTTATCATTTACACAACTCCTAAAGGAACAAGAATATCTATGCCCTCTCCTATCTATCTTTCTCTGACTCTATGATGAAGACAGACCTGAAATGTGAAAGACTATTAGCTTGCAAACTTAACATATGCTCAGATTTTTTCCCGTTGTTTGAATTTTTCATAACATATTCTGTTCAGAAGGTAAAAATCCATGAAGAAAACCAAAGGGAGATAGGTCATAAGGGTAAGGGCACATGTAATATTATTGATACACCTGGAGAGAGCCTTGACTATGATTTGGCAGACAGGGCACCAATGACACTGAATTCTCTATCCTTTTTCCTGTTTTGTTTTTTTTTTTTAAACTGGGATTATTTTTTCAGCTAATATAGCACACATATAAAACATAGTGATGACAAAGCATGGCCAAATTAAATAATAATGAGATGCTTAGAAGATGTGCTTGACTCTTCAACTGTGCACATTAGCTTTATCTTCCAATACCACCTACCAGTGATTTTGTGCCTGTTAGCAAAAAAGGCAGTTTGTCAGGATAGTGTCTGGAGTAAGTAATGAGAAATTAAAATTTGTAGATAGCTAATGACCAAATTAGACTCTTATGTTGTAGTTATGCCAACCAAGAAAGAAACTCCAACTTAACTTAAACTGAGATTCCTTCTAACTGCTGTGGCCAGACAAAAATAAAAAATATAGATAACCTGTTCATAAAAAAGCATTTAATGAAATATGTGGATCTGCCAGAGAGCTGGGAGTGTATTCAGTGGAGCAATTACTAAGAACTTGATTACATATATACCTATTAGGTTAAAAAACAAACAAAACCCCCCATTCAATGAGTTTCTTCTCTAGGAGATGGACTTATGAAGTGAGCCGAATTAGGTCCTTGCTCTGTCATTTTGTGATGACAGTTCAATCATTGTGTGCCTCAGTTTCTCCAGTATGATGTATGGATTATTGTATTTAGTCCTTTCATGGGTTTTGATGATAAATTTATAAATGTACAATGAACTTCGATTGCCTTCCAAGTCTCGCAGTGAAAGCAGTACAAAAATACAAAGTGTTGCTATACTACTGTATGAAGCTGAATCATTTGCCAAATGCAAAGTACAAGTTAAAAGCACTTCAGCTTAAGGAGAAAGCAGAGGGTCCTGGGAGAATCAAGCTGAGACTTCTAATAATGTTACCAACTTTCTACAAGAAAGTGATAGAATCCTGGAAAACACACCAGATCTATGTTGTGTTTAGGGACACTGTAAGAAAAATTAAAGCAATAGACGCAAAGTAACACTGCAATTTCCTGGACTCCATAAGTGAAGGAAAAACTCTGGAAGTGCTACAGATTAAAAAAAATAACACACTTAAAAGTTGCCTGCCCCTCCCCCCCCGAAACTGACCAAATAAAAGTAGATCTGGAGTTCAGGATAATCTGAAAAAGCAGACCCCAAAAGCAGGCAAAAAAGCAGATTATCTACTCTGTGTAAACCTCCAGCTCATTCACAGTAAGTAAATAATAAAAATTATTGCAGAGGTGGAAACAGATACTCAACTCCTGACTGATTTAAATTCCTGTATTAAATACAGGAATTTTTTTCACTAATGAAGATTTAAAATACCAGGTGATGTTAGATATAGAAACTGAGATTGAAGGTGAAGGTAGAACTGCTTTTACATTTAGAGTAATGCAATGAGTTTCTGGTTTTCCTTGAACCCACACCTAATGGCCTTTTTAAAGAGCTCAGGCTAGCTCTTGTTTCAAACAAGTTGAATTCCAAGTTTACATCAAATGTGTCTTTACTGGTATAAGAAATACTAAAAAAAATTAAAGAATTTAACTGTCATTTTCTTTTTGTGTTCAGATAAATTTTAATTTATTTTTTTTTAAACAGTCTGTTAAGACTAAAATACTTTCCTACTGACTACCATGTCAGTTTACAAATCAGTAAGCTTCAGAAATAAAATTGTCAGCATATGGAGGCTAAAATGTGTTAAAGTATAAATATTGACTATTTTATTAATTCTTCACTTTACAATCTAATGTAAATTATAAAAGGCTTCTTCAATGCTGATGCAACACAGATTAGAGCAAATGTAAGCAAACAAAAATGTCAAGCTTAACAGAGGTGCCTAGATAAGCTTTAAAAATGTCTCTGGCTTCTCTTTACACTCCATTCCACATGTGAACATCACTTCCTTCTGAAGAGTTTGAACTATTTTGCTGCTGCTCAGCTCTTGTAGTGCTTGTTTATATGTCACCATTTTTACTCACCAATTATTTTAGTATTTTACACTTGACTTTCATCAAGCTATTGACTAAGCATTCCTACGTTTTTTTTTTAATTCCAGTTTAAATTTTTTTTTCGAAGTCATCTCACATTTTTGGTTTTGTCTTCCCTTCTCCTTTCCCTCTAACATCCAAATCCTAATATGCTGCATCTCACCTGTTTTGTGAAACATGTTCTTCCAGAATCTTTTAATGCACTAGTGCCTCCTTCCTCTAAAGCTTCAGCAACACCCACCAATCACAGAAACCCCAAACTCAAATACTTTCAAGGAGTTTAATCACAACTCCTTTCCCTTCCCCTCTCTATTCTTCATGCCTAGATCCGTAAATAAAGCAAGCTGGGCTTAGGTAATATATTTTCATGTTGATGAATAAACACCTTTAGAAGCAAACTAGCTTCCCATAGTAATTTTAGAGAAACCTAGGACTGATCCTAGCCAGATAACATACCTCTAAATACATTAAATGCTGTCTCCTGCTGAGAACTTATTCACCAAACCAGGTTTGTTAAGATTTCTCCCAAACACAATCTACTTTTATTAGACCAGGCAGCCTGATATTTTAATTGTCAAGAATGAAAGTGCTTTGTGTTAGACAACTTGCTATCTTATTTATCTGAAAACTGCATAGATCACATTAGGTCTATGGAAATATTAGACTTTCAAAGTATGAAAAGCAGCGTATGTTAAATGTGTGTATTCAAAACACATTAGAAATATGGGGTTTCATTTACATGTTACCAAACTCCCTAATGTTCCAAACCTCAGCTTTTCCCCTTGCTTGTGTTAAGGAAGAATGCCACAAAAACAGACATCTAATTACACATGTAACAACGTAGTTTTAATAAGGGGATTTTGTATTTCATAGAATTGTCTTAAATTAGAAAGCAATGGTATTTTAAAATAATAAGGATATCTGTAACTCATGTAATACTTAAATATATGCAAAAAAATATTTTTAAAATTGGAGGATACTCTGTGCATCTATGCAGACGGGCAGACTAACAGTCCTGACGTATTTAATTATGATCATTATTCAGAATTTTGTTGTAGTCTGTAATGTCAAAGCTGCACCGTTGTTACATTTTTGTCCCATTAACAAAAAAAGTTTTCTATTAGATTTATAATAATTTTGAAGTCTCAGCTTGTTAAACCTGTGTTAGAAAATGTCTCACAGGGTCTCTCCTCCTAAATACGTCTCCTGCATTTAGCAACATCTGATCCCAGTTAAGGCACTTACAGCTTTACGCCCCCTTCCCAATACATACACTGGGAGTCTTTAATGCTTCAAATTCATCTTTTTTCATTAAATAAAGTTAAGAGTCACAACTGCAGGTGCTGTACTATTGAGAGCCACTGCTGTGCCAACAGTTTCAATTTTAAACCTATTTTTCCCCATTGATGACATTAGAACTTCACCCACGGCTGTACCAGCTTATAACTTTCACTTTTAATTAAAGAAATTAAATTGGCAACATGAAACACTTTGCTTTCACATTAGCTTTGTTAATAAAAAGTGAAAGTTAAAAGCAGCATAGCTGAGGGTAAAACCCTATTCAGAGCTACGACCACAGTGAGGTGGAATGCAAGAGTACAGGTCTAAAAAAAGATTTATTTTAAAATCATTAAAATTGAAGTAACAAATTTATAAAAATTCAGAAAATTATCTTAACACAATAATTCCCTCTTTGCTCTCCTCTCATCAGAAGTGAGTTATAAGTTTCTGCTCTGAGAGTGCTTCATCTCACAGAAAGCTGCATTACATCTACCGTACTGTCAGAAGAGAGGGAAAGGATTAAATTGGCATGACGACTGAACTCATATGTGGCTCAAGGAGGTAGCCCCTTCAAGTAATCACAGGACGTGTGTGTAAGGAAATCTGCATTGCCATATTTCAATGATCTCTCTCCAATAAAAAAGCCCTTCAGCCTGTAGTACTATAAAAATCACTATCATCCATAAATACTAATTAACTTTGCAAACAACACTAAACGTAATTTTCCATTTACTTATGTAATTATTCTTTTTACAGAATAGATCTTACTCCTGTAATAGTCGTATTTAAGACCCCAGAACTTCACAGGCTTGTGCTGCTAATACAGAACACTAATAAAATGTATATATTGGAAATTAATTTTCAAAATTAATTTAATAATAAAATAAACATGCACTTAGCCAGTTTTAGCAGATGAATTAACACAGTAATTTTAACATGATCTACTTTATTATAGATTATATCATAGAAGTATTATTCATTGATTGTCTGAAAACAAGGACAACCTCAAGCTGTACCTCTTTACTGTAGAAAGCACCACTGTCTCCAAAAAACAATACAGAAATGAAACCAAACAAACAAACAAAAAAATATCAACTACAAACTCTGATTCCTCCTGCTGCCAGAAGTATTTCCATAATTAGCCCAGAACCAGAACTTCATTCAATTTGACACATACAACCCACATTTTCCAGGTTTTGGAAATAGCCATGAAAGCAGCAAGGAACACACCTTTTACTATAGAAAAACCTGTGCTTTGTTTTGTGGTGGGTTTGTTTTTTTTTTTTTAGAAAGTCCACACAACACACACCATGTCAAATGTAAAGGTAAATTCCTCAAGTGATTTTAGTCTGGCTTTTGACCTTTCTGCAGTCTTAAGACTTTCCTTAGCTCTTCTTGCAATTTCCCATACCAGTCACCAAAGACAGATTCAAAAGATCTCCGCTTCTGCACATACATTGAAACAACAGCCAGTGGGTCCTTACTGGGAAAACAAACGAGGGTGAAGAGTTGACTCTCCCAAATATTTCCTTTAAATAGACTGCACTCTACATATGTGTTTATGTACAAGATGGCCCCTTCCTTGTGCCGTTTTTATTTTACCCTATTATTCATGTATCATGAAGATAACCAAAAGTTATGACAATCAAGGCAGCTGCAGCCTCTCCCTCTACAGCTTGTGTATTTGACACATCATATTACCTGGATGTTTGAAACAAGAGCTGTTCCAGCAGCAGGACTTGACTTGATCTCACAGTTTTGGGGACCAATATGTCTTTAAACACGTCGATTCTAAAAAGAATTTCTAGGAAGTAAATTACAGAAATGCCTTGGGCCATATGTTCTAAGTTGGTATACCTAGGTTGTGGAACATGAAGCAGAGATCCCCAAAGTACAAGAGATCATGCTAGCTCTTGACACAGTATAGTCTTGTTTTCAATTTTTAGATTTTTATTTAAAAAGAAACTGTATATTGCATTGTTACTATAGCATACCTTATGATTTTTCCTTTCCTGTGAAGTTTGTCTTCTCCCAAAATATCTCACTGGAATGTGAACATCAGTCATTATTATTCTAAGCTTGTGGTATGAAGTTTCTATTTCTCAAGTATTTCCCAGGCATGGGATGTAAGATTTTGTAATATTCTCTCATTTAACAAGCCAAGTAATACTGCTATTTTGCTTTAAAGATACTCTTGTAGCTTCACAATTATTTTTAACTTGGATAATGACTTTTCTCAGAATGTCAAAAATTTAAAATATTTTTTTGAAACCTATTTTTTTTTTCTTCTATCTCCCCATCTCATTTTATCTCTCATTCTCCCAAAAACATTTCCTGAAGCAAAACCAACCCCATCTGGGTGCTTACAAATTCTGCAATCACATCTTACTGTAACAATTGAATTTATGGTTGCAGATCAATCAGAACACTAGTGTCAACTGTTTTCTTTTCTCCTCTTAAAGAAACCAACCCATTATCCAAAACAACAACAAAACCCTGCAAACCCCACACTTTCTTTGACCATCATTTACATATCTTTCTTACTGAATTTTAATGCAAAATTACGAAATTGGTTTCAAGGCTTCCCAAAGACTCATGCTGACTCCCCTTTCATTTCAATCTATTCCTTAATTTTTCATCATCTTTTCAGTTTATTATTTTGATGTTAAGTTGATTATTTAATACCATCCACTCGAATGCCCAAAACATTTCCTTCATTATCTTATTCTTTGTCAAAACCTGAACTTTCGCTGTTAACAAGGCTCCAAAGTGTAAATAATTAAAATAGAATTTTCACTGTGCAAATTAAACCTGTTTACACTCTTCCCTACTAGACAATAGATGAAGTACCACTAGCAGGCAATTTTGAAACTTTTCCTAAAATTAGTGTGCTGAGTAACTTTAAAAACACGTTGCCAAATAACATGTCAAAACATGTACAAGATAAAAAAATCACTCTGTTTGTCTAAAAGGCACATTAAGAAGCTGCAATTATAAATAAAAGAAAAAAATTCTGAATTTTTGATTTAAGCATCTATAAGGAAAAAAGCAGAAACAGAAATTTCTTTTTAAAATCCCAAGTTTTCTAACCTTTAAAGACACAACACTGTCAAGGTGACAAAGACACCATGATCGGGGAAACGTCGTCTTTGCATAGAGAGTGTTTCAGTCTCCAGAGCCAGTTTAATCATTATCTCCTTTGCAGACACAAATACCAATCAGCAGGCCACCAACAGACATGAAATGGTTACTGATCTTTATCACTATTTATCAGGGCAGCTAGGGCAGATTTTAACTGTGTCCGTTTAATAACTGCATCATTACAATTACTGCATCCTTTCCACAAAGACTTAGATCTCCTTAGGCAACTAGGCAAGTTCACAGAAGACCAGGAAAAAGCTAAATCCTGGGTAAAGAATTAGTACATACGAATTCGGAATAAAGACCTCAACAGTTAATGGCTGTTAATGTACAGGTGATCTTGCATTTGAGCAGCAACCTAGATTCTAAGGAAATCACAAACAATCTATTATTTAGAATAAAAAGTTGTAATCTGACCATATTTTGCCAAACTATGTCCTACATAAGTCTTGCAATAGGTCGTGAATCCATCAGAACAGAATGGTTGAGAGCCAGCTGAACGCTCCACAAAGAAAAGATGCTATCAGTGTAAGTTCAGTTCCAAATTGGCATTTACACTTAAATCACAAAATTGCATAAGCACCTCCCAAAAGGCTTGCAATATCTTCAGCTTACCTCTTCCATGGCTACTTTGTGGTTTGGTTTTGGTTTTTTGATACCTTCATATATTTTTCTAGTATACCATGTATTTATGCCAAGCTGTCTCCTATCACTTTCTGGTTATGATGTTGATTTATATATTCATTATTTTTATTAAGATAATTTCTTCAAATCAAGTAGAGGACTATTTTTTTATATTTGTTTGTTGTAGAGTTCTTTAATTTGTTCTTTCTGTAATCTATAGGAATCAAACTTGTTGATCACGTATTTATTTCCTAAATTTTGACTTCACAGGAGTTTATATTATTCAAGACTAAAACAAAAAAAAACAAAACCAAAGAACATCAAATCACAAAGTAATTCGGGTTGGAAAGGACAACAGGAGGTCATTTAACCCAGACTCAGATCAGCCTGCTTAAGGCTTTGTGCAGTCAGGGAAACATTTCTGAACTAAGGACTACAAGCTACTGTATTTTCCTCAATGTCCATTAAAAAAAACCAACCAACATAACAAACCAGCAGCAGGATACACTGAATGGAGAAAACAGCATAAAAATATATCTATATAAGCATTTCTTTATTTTTTAAAAATAAACATTAAGAATGAAAACAATAAAACTGTTTTCATCTAAACATTTAAAGAGTATATATGTCATGTGGAATTTTGTGGAATATTTAACAATGTGAACAATTATAAATTACAAATGAAAACAGGACAGATTGAAGTACCCAAATTTAAAAACAAATTTCTGAAATAAGCAAGGATAGGTTTAAAAAAAAAAAAATTAAAAAAAATCTCTCAATTTGTGAACAGTAATGGCACAAAACCAGGAGGCTAAGTAGTACAATTGAGCATTGAGTTGTTCTGCATGATCTCTTCAGAATATACAATAAATAATTCGACGAAAATGCCAATGTAATGACAACTTATCTGCAGTTTGATATGATATATATAATTAAATATGCAGCCATAAACAGGAGGTTTATCTATACCTGTATGCTCTTGAAACAATACTGTCTTAGTTTGTTCTATTGCATGTATGAAAATTCATTCTTTGGAATTAGAGTTAGAAAGGAATCAGTCCAGAAGAACTGAGAGTTAACTGAAGACAGGCATGAATCAATTAAATAATGCAGTTATATAGAGGTGACTGGAACACCAACTGGGACACATTGTACTTAAAATAAACAAATAAACAAAACTGGTTTTTTTTTTTTTAAAAAAGTCTAGAAACTCAAGAAGTAAAGCGCCTCAAAAAAATCAAGAAGTAAAGTAAAAAGCCTCAAAACCAATCCATAACAATTTACTGAATTGTGTTTAAATACCAGAAGTGTAGGCTGTGATTTTCAAATAGCACAGAAACCCTGGCATCTATTAAATTTCAAAGACAATTGTGAAAATTATTTTACCAAGGTATTTTGAAAATATTAGCCATTATCTCCTATATTCCCAAGAACTCATCAAATTCAGAGCTGTATCCTGAAAATGCAGGAGCATTCCAGTCAAGTAGGTCTAGAGTCATCACAGATAAGATAGGATGACTTAATGAATTAAAGGTGTGATGTCACAACAGCAGTATCTTTCTGTTATGAGAAACAAAATGTGCTTATGAAACAAATTTCACAAAACTAAATAATTTTTTGAAGACTATGAATTGTTAAGTAGTTTAAAAAAAAAAAGAGTAAAACAGATACCTTGGCAGCCTTTAGCAAGATTTCCCTCTCTTGTTCATCCTTCCTTTGCTTTTCTAAACGCTCCAACTGTTCAAAAAACTTTAACTGTGATCGGACGTCTGTAGCTTGTTCATACCATTCATCATCCTGTAAAATAAGAACGTGTTAGAAAAACATGCATTTTCATCAAGCCTATGCATTTAAAGAGAATAGGTGTTATACATTAAAATCTTTCCATTGTACTAACAATAATTTTTATTCTTTTTTTAAGCTCAGGAGAATGAAGCCAGCCTATAGTTAATAATGCAGCTAGAATCTGATTATTTAATTAATATCTAAGCAAATTAAAAAACCAAGGATTGATTTATCAGCACCAGAGACATCAAAGAGTTAAAAAGAATAAACCCAACAGGCTTACTGATTAAAAACCCCTAAGATGCTTAACTTTATTACTGAACAATCCTAGATATAGGATATAAGCATGGTTATAAACTGCAATTCCTGTATTTGTACTCATCTTGAACTAGTAACAGACATGATCAAGATGCAGCATTATAAAAGCATTAAAGCTAAAAGTTCAGTTGAAAATAAGCCTCTAATTACAATTAAAATAGAAGAACTTTATGACAAGTAAGAACATACAAGCTTTCCTAGTACCCAACAAACAATAAGAATTTATGACACAAGCTGCACGGGGAACACTCAGAATGTCAGTCAGAAAAATAAGTTATCCATATTACTTCCATCTCATTTATCTGCTTAATATCTTCCTTTTGACTGCAATGCTATGAAATGAAAGAAAACCATTAAGCAAGAAACATGCAGAAGACAATGAAAATGCTACGGTTCAATTGGAGACAACACTAAGGGGTTTTTTAAGAATCTGTTAAGATATAATTTTAAATGCATCTTTGGCTTAAAACAGACTAAGCCAAGTGTTGTCTTCTCAGACACCATCCTAGGGAGGAGGAAGGAGGGATTTAACACTGCTGAAGCTGATGAAGAATATTGGAAAGAAACAAGGACATTTTACTTTTAGTCCAATATAGTAGAATACATCCATCAATCAAAAGGAAAGATATAAGCGTAGGTAATACACAGGCATAGTGGCCTTTATGGTTTTTTAATCCATTTTTCTACCACAGTAATGTTGATTCTAGTCACAGATCCCAAGGATAATTTTCTTGCAAATGCCACATATCATTAGTCTAACTGTGACTCAGGTTTGGAAAACAGGTGGGCAAAGATACAATCCAAAGCTGTTTGACCAGGCTTTCACTCTCAAGGAAAACAAAAAAAACCCAACCCCAAAATCAAGCAAAAAAACAAACCAGAGCTACTCAATGTATATATATGCTAAAGAAATCTGAACACAGCTTAGACACAACACACAACTACGGTTATTGCCATCTTGTTTTTACACCAGTTTAACAACTATTAGCATCTTTGTTTTATCAAAAAAAGATATCTCATATTTATCAATAAAGATGTTTGATTTATTTGAATTTCAAACTGGTTTGCAGATTCTTATTTAAACTTCCCCCCGGTTTAAGGTATCTAAGTTGTTTCAATTTTCTTCAAGCATACATTCACTAACAATGGAATCAAGAGTAGCATTTTATCTTGAAATGTTCTTTTTAAAGAGAACACCATTGTTTAATTACAGTGACTTTACAGCTGAATTCTTTAGTTGCTGGTTTGCAACAAATTCTTAGCTTTTGTAAAATATTAGTATTGCTCACAGCCAAGGACATGTGAAGTTACTATAGATTCCTATATGTTGAAGCAACTTTGATCCAATCAATGGATACCTTGGTCAAAAAAAGGAGACATCAACAATCAAAGTCAGTCACAATGCATGAGCAGAAATAGCTTAACAAATACTCCACACTAGACACTTTAGCACAGAAGGGTGAAAACGTAATTCTACATACAAATTCTGTCACAGAGGAGGAAGATAGATCTGGCAAGCAGTGCTATCATCCCACCACTTTCTATTTGCTGAGCGAGACAAACCTGCGATTAGAACATGCTTTGCACAGAGAATGAACACAAAACACCCACCATGTGCTAAGAAAAAACAGCATCACACTGCATTGTTCTGTAACATACCTTTCTTTGCACACTTACTTTGTACGATTCCATTCGGTGCTGGGTTATCACTGTTACTTTTTCTATCACTGTTCTTAATCTGTTTTGTGTTGCGTGGGAAATAAAAGTAACCACCTCAGCTGGCACATCAGTAATTCCTAGTTTTTTAGCTAAAGCAAAAAACAAAACAAAATAGAATTAGCTTACACCCCGCAAAAAAAACCCCAAAACTCTAAAGAACATAGTTATAACTTCATTTTTCTGAACAGAAAAATAAGTGGTAGTGTTTTTATGTAGCTTTAGTGATACACTCATGACCCCTTGAAAAGTGTGACTATACTTTTAAGTTTGAAAGAGAAATCAGAGCATTTTTTTACCACTTAGAAAGTGTTTAAGAACAGATGTTTATCCTAGTATATTAAAACAAAGCATAACAGAGCACGAGACAATTTGAGTTCTCAGTTGTTCTACACAAGAAAAAGCAATTCCTTTATTTTCAGAAGCATTAGTGCAGATTAATTTCAGTGTCAATGAGATGAGGCTGCAGCCCAAAGCATACTGTTGCACACTTTAGCCTACACTATTGGCATACTACTGTTAATAAAAGTTCTTTAGAAAAAAACCCTCTTCATTGAATATGAAGAAATAAGTCAAATTAACAACAGTTATTTAAAAACACCCGTTGTGCCCCAAATGCTGCTAAAAGACATATTTGTAGTTATTTGATACTTTGTGCTGAGTTTATACGAAAAGCAAACACTCTACAGTCCAATTCCTAAATTCATCAAAATGATTGCTAAGTATTGGATATAAGTTTTTATATATACGAATATACACACTAATCTAAGCTATAGTCCTACAAAGACATGCATGTGAGCAGTCCCAGCGCGGCAGTTTTCTGGATAGAAAACTGCGCGTGCACACGGAGATACATGTATTTTGTATATAAACAAATCAGTAGTTCTGTTTTCTGTGGATTATTGGATTTGACCCACCATAAAAGAGTAAATACTCTGATTACACTGAATCAGTTTTCCACTGGACGAACAGGGGACTTCTAAAAACGTTTGTGAATACGTTTGTTCGTGGTACGTTAACGGGTAGGCAAAGCACTGCAGGAGATTTGTTTGAGAGTATTTTGGAAAGTGCTTCCCAAAGGGCTAATTACAGAAGTGGTCTTTGTTTGCGGGAGGGGTCCCTCAGCACATACGGAGGGACTGAGAGGCTTAAGAACGAGGATTTGTTCTGTGAAGCATTCCTATCGTTCCCTGGCCAAAGTCAAGCGCAAGAAACCATCACACGTCTAAAAAATGAAGACGAACAAGTGAGCAGTGGTCTTACATGGATGTATACTTCTGTTATTTTAGCGATGTGATCTGAGACGAACTGGCAGCGTTCAGCATCACCCTGGGCTTCTGTCAGGGCCGGGCTGGGGCCGCTCAATCACGGCGCGGCCGGGCGGGCGGACCGCCACCGCCGGCAGGGGGCACTGCGGCGGGGCCG